TGATTCCCATCCGTGGTCACAGCGATGTCTCCGATCCAGAATGTGATCGGGTGTTCCCGCAGAGCGTGAACCGTGCGTGTTCGCGTGGGTCAGGTCACGAACACGTTCAGATGTCAGCGCTGCCATGACGACGGCTGTGAGAGCTCCCAGGATTTCCTCTTCCTTCATCTGCTGACTTCAGGCCTCTCTGTGCATGCGAGCCACTTTAACCTGCTTTTATTTTGAAATTATCAACTAAGTATTCATCCCTCCCGCCCCTTTTTACCTGGCCTCTCCTCCCCCGGAGAGTCACGTGGTTAACCGAACCCTCACGCTGACCCCCAGCTTTGTACGTAGCTGCAGTAACCGCCGCTGGCGCTCGAGCTCCAGGCGGGAGGTGTCCTCCTCGTCCTCTGCCGTGGTGCTGAATGAAGACTGTGGAAGATCTCGTACGCGGCCTCAGTGAGCCGCTGGTTGATGAGCAGGTGCAGCAGCTCGAGCTTCGACATGTCTGCACCGGAAATGCGTCTGGGCATGCTCAGAGACTCAGCGAGAGAGCTGTAGCGCCACAGAGTCACATGACTGTGTCTCGGCTTCAGGATTGTTGTTAGTCTCAAACTCTGTAAGTTTGAGTTACAGGTGTATATATGTGCACACCTGTAACTCAAACTTTCATCACATTCACTTCCTCTGCTCTGATTTCACGTCTCAGGCTGTGGGACAGGAAGCGTTCATGTTTCCATGGATCCAGCCGTCACCTTAGAAACAAACAGCAGCACTGAGCGCGCTCAGAGCCTGCGGTTCATCAGGAACGGCTGATAACCACCGTGGCTGTTATGTCTGACTGGGCTTGTTCACTGATCTGAACGCAGAGCAAGCCTGGATATGTTGAACCTCCTCTGTAGCCACGCCTCCTGAGATAAGTGGCGTTGTTACGATGTGGAAATCATGTAGATTTATCGTCTCACTCGAAATGATTTCTCACCAAATCCTTCTTTTTCTCATTTGAACCTTATTTGAAATGAAATTCATTGAGAAATCTGCTGTAATTAAAGGAAACTCGAGTTCACGATGTAACCCTGAATTCCCTGATCTTTCTTTCCTCGAAGGCAGCGAACCCAAAGCAGACCTTCATGCTTTGTAACTGATGAGACCATAGCCCATGTCTTACTCAGGATGACCACGTGGTCATGTATGCATGATGTTTCCATCTACTGAACATCCCCCCAGGCCCCACCTCAGCAGGTCACCTCTGGGACAGCAGGCGCACACCAACCTGCTGACCAAATCCTCGCCTCCTTGTTGAAGAATGATTGTGGGAATTTAAACTGTGCTAAATGACTTGTTGACCTATAATCTGTCAGAAAAAGATCAACCATATCGCTCATGAAGGTTTTCTATTGAGCCAGAAAGAACATTCGTATCACGAAGTAGATGCTATGGTTTCCAGGAGATCAGGCCAGGAGGGCGTCACAAATACAAGATCACAGCTCTTTACTCTGGGCTCAATGATGCACAAACAGCTTCTTTCTAGTACACGTAACCCCTTCATGCATCTTCTTATCAAGATAAAAACTCGTCCACTGCCGTCAGTCCGGTTCATGAACAGCTGCAGATGTTCGATCTCTGCCGGCCGGCGGCTCTCAGAGCTCAGGTGGAGCTTTTCCACCCAGAAACACAAAGTGTCGTCGCAGACGTGTTACAATCAACACGCACAGAAACGCATCAGCAAACACCAAACACTGACTGGGTTTCCTGAAAAGCAAGTCTACGTACATCTGTTTGACCAACACTGTTTATAGGGCTTCGAAGCGTGATGTCACGGGAGGGGGCGTGACCGCCGAGGTGCCATTTTAGCAGGCCGAGCAAAGGGCTAAAGGACCGAAAGCATCAGCAATGGTTCATCCTTGCTGTGTTGTTGGTTGTTAGAGCGCACGATTGTGAAGGGAATAAGCTGGAAAATGGTTTATCTTTTTATTCTTTCCCCACCTGGAAGCAACGTGAGGCAGCTCGTATCAGATGTTACCAAAAGAAGCATCTAGCCTGGAGAGCAGCTGTGAGACGAGCTCCAGTTCTCTACCATCCACAGATATCTGTTGGTGCTCCAGACAGTTTCATTCAGTTAAGATAAGTTCATATCACTCTTTGTAGCCTATTAGTGTTATTTTCAATGCGCTCTGAGCTCATAGCAAATTAGAACAAACATCCTAATGAGTGATTTTGTAAAACTACCTTTATTTATAGAGTTGCTAATTGTTTTTCATTATTGCAGCAAAGCAGCCGATGAAATGAATGAAACAAATCCTGACTGGGTTCCAACGCTACACATGGGGCACTACGAAATCCCTGCTTCAAACCACATGCTACATACCAGCATGCCAATCAGGTTAGTTCTTCCATGTGAGGGTGAAGAGGTGACCCTTCTGGATAAGATGGTGAAGGTTTGCTGCGTTTGGTGAACATGTGCCCCAGTGTGGCAGTAAAACCAGGGAAAATACTCTTGTTAAACACTCTTAAAAGTCTTGTGCTGTACATGTAGAGACAGTAAATTACAGAATGCTATAGTGGGTGATATTATTTAAATGCTGTCATGATTTTATGTGAACATTTTGTCATTTGTAAACTATACATGACATTGACTCTACATTATAACTGATGATCTACAAAGTGCTTTTAATTAAAAAAGACAAACATTTATTTCTCTATTCAACTTTTGAACAGTGGTACTTAGTAAGTACATATTCAGTAAATGCAAATTATTTACATGCCCCCTAAATAAAACATTGTGGGTTATTCAGAACAGAACTATGCTTGGAGAAATATTTTCCCATCAGTTGATCCAACTCCTCCACAGCAGCAGGTGGGATCTTTCTGAGGACGGCTCCTTTTCCCTGACACTACAGACGGTCTGTTTATGTTTTGATTGAGAGACTTTTTTTGGGCAGCTGAAGAGGAGAGGTCTATCTTATGGCCTCTGGCTGTATCTTGGTCACATTACCCAGTAAAACCCAGCATGTAGGTTCATCTGTAACAGTCCTTGTGCCACAGATCAACACTGTTGCTTCTACATTAAACAGCAGAGCAGGGACGTGGCTGCAGGTCTCCACGACTCCGGCCTTACAGGTGCAGTGGGCGGCTTCAACCTCCCCTGTGATGCTCACAGTGACCCATGGCGGCAATGCTGGTTCATTCAGTCTTTGAGAGTGCAGGACCTGAAACACACACAGACAAAGTTCATGTAAAGACAAGAACTATGAGCCAAGGCCGAAACAAATGTGTTTGATCTGCTTTCAAATCCATTTATCACAATTGTAACAAAGTGTTTAGAAAGTTAGCACATACATGTGATTTTTCATCTTTTTATGTGTCCATCTATACAACGCTGCATGTTCTAAATCTGCCTGTTTTTGTTTTTCTGTTCTTTTTGTTTGTTTGTTTTAATCTGCCAGCAAAAATGAACCTAAAGTATGTAATGCAAGGATGTCATCACTTCCAAGATGGAGAAAGCATAAAGTTCAACTTTTATGAATCACTTAATATGATAAGGAGATTCTGCAGGTCATTAATCGATGTATAAAACCAAAATAGAAAATATTTTTACTTACACAGCACACAAACACGGAAGCAAGATGTGTAATTAGGATTATTTATAATAAATATGAAGTAATTAGTGCAATTTCTTTAACTATAGAGAATGACTAAATCCTTCAGGACAATGTCTCATCAGTGCACTGAACTCACTGTTATCCCTCTAACAGCCTCCACATGTTCTCACTGTAGTTTCCCCTCATGAATGAATTTATGCTGCACTAATCTGAATGTTCGGGGGGAAATCAAACGCATTTTACTCGCAGTACTCGAGCTGACTTACCTTTGTTTGAATGACGGCGGATTCACAACGTGGAGGCTTAAAAAAAGCCAAATCTTGTACCCATCCTTGGTGGATGTGCGCCTCCAGACATTTATAATTGCCAAATTGGTTCACCGTGTATGCGCTGACTCCACAGACAGCGTACAAATATATATCAGTCTAAGTCAATAGCACTTGGTCTTCAGGGTTTCTACTCCACGGCCGTTATTTCACACAGGTCCACATTTCCAGTGCACGCTGTTTTTTGCAAGTACCGTCTCTTTGCATCCGGTCTCTATAACGTCGTTTGCCTTTTGAGCTGCTTGTAAGTGTGGTTGGTCGCAATCTTCCTTCTAACACAGTGTGTTTGTTTTGATTCGTAGCCTGCTAAAAAGGTGCCGCGCTCCCACAATGCACTGCGGCATCAACTAACATCAACTCCAAAGCCCTATTCTGAAACCAGTCAATCCTAAACACCAGCTATTCTGAAACAGCAGTTCACCTGGGCAAACTGCCACCGCTGCTCTACCTCTACAAAGTGTAGATGAGTTAAAGTTCAGATGATTGAGGATGGTGGGTTAAAAAACAAATGGTGATATTAAAAATGGAGAGTTCGATTAAGGAGAAAGAATTAACTCAGCGTGTTTCAGTCTGGATGTGTGCTCTGAGTCTCCGTGAACTCTAACAGAGGGAAGTGAAAACAGGCTGTGGGCCTGTGGGGCTTCATGTTCATGAAGTTGAAAGTTTCCACCTGATTAAACACAGCGGTGACGAGACAAAGACGCAGCTGTGAGCAGTTTCCGTCCTTCATTGTGGCCATGAACTAAACAGGAAAAAGAAACGTTGCTGGCGTCTCTGTAGAGACACATCTTTAATGCTTCCAACTAATGAGAGTTCCTAATTAAAGCAAATGAAAGGTGATGTTTGAACTCACTGAGCGTCAGTAAAGCCCAGCGGCCTGACCTCAGCTTGGTACAGTAGGATTTATTTTACTTTATGAACTTATTCTGTTTCTGTCAGGATAACTCCTGGTTACTTAAAACAGATTTCCCTCAGATGGGTTGAAGTATTAAAACAAACTTTACATTCATTAGATTAAATACATTTGATTTGTAGACGATTTGAAGACTGTGGACTTTATATAAACGAGCGTGCAGCGAGTCGAGCCACGAGTGAGGAGGTGATGAGGACGGCTCCAGCTGACTGACTCTGTGTTTGCATATGTGTCCTGCCTCTCTGCAGCCCTTAAGAGGCCAGTGTTGATCAGTGTGTGTCCAGACCTTTCAGAGACACTGACACGCCGGCAGCACAATGATGATGTCACTGACTCTACTGCTGGCCACCCTGGGGCTCCTTGTTCAGGGTGAGACTCTCTGTGAGCGCTTGGCTTCAGCGTGAACACTGAAACGAGCAGCAGTGACCTTCTTCCATCTGCTCTCCATCTTCTGTTTGGATGCTGATCATCTTTCTCCACGCTGGATTTGTCTCAGTAACCCTTCTCCTCTTTTCCATCTTTTCCAGGTTCATCAGGACAAATCATCGTGACTCAGTCTCCTGGAGCTCAGTCTGTGGTTGCAGGGCAGACTGTCTCCATCACATGTAGAACCAGTACAAGTGTTTACAGTACTTACTATAAGAAAAACCTGCTTTCCTGGTACCTCCAGAAACCTGGAGGAGCTCCTAAACTCCTGATTTATCTAGCTACATCTCGTCAGTCTGGAGTTTCAGATCGTTTCAGTGGGAATGGATCTGGTACTGACTTCACTCTGAGCATCAGAGGAGTCCAGGCTGAAGATTCAGGAGTTTATTACTGTCAGAGCGTCCTATGGTGGAACAATCAAGACGTGTTCACACAGCGTAACAGCGTAGTACAAAAACCTCCCTCAGTCAGGCTGACACAGTTCAATGGACACACACCAAAGTAAGATGCACATATCACAGCATTGATGTGCACAGCTTAGTTTCCCACTGACATACTGACTTTTACATAATTATGACCCCAAATTCCTGAACATCAGGACGATTCCCAAGATAACCACAGCAGACGTTTTCGCTTTGGTAAAATCTAACTTGAGCCTGTGTAATTGTGTTCTTTTGTGGCTCTTTGTGTTCTGGATGTTGTGTTGTGTCAGTGAGGCGTGTTGTACGAAGCGCTTTAAGTTCCCCTGGAGTAGAAGAACCAGTGCATTCACCATTTAAGCGCCGATCCTGGAAGAAAGTCAAAGTAACCTTTGTTGTCATCTCTGCTATAGAGAGACGAGACGATGAGGCTCCGGTTCAGTGCAAAAGAACAACAATAAATATAGGAAGAGTAAGAATAACCGTACACTTTGAGACTGAGGTGAGGGGAGTAAATGTACACTATGAGGTAAAAAGAGTTAATAACAGTCTAAACTTTACAATTGAGATTTAAAGTGACTGAAGTGGTTTGAAATGACCAACGTAGCAGCTTTACAGTTTACAGTGAAATAAACAACACGAGCAGGATTGCTGAGAGTAGGACTGACCATAGAGCAGCATCTGTATTTATAAAGGCATCGGTGTGCGGAGTCCAATAGAGTTCGTTAATGTCCCTCATCTCTGTACGCCGACTCGTCATTGCTGCTGATGAGTAGGGATGGGTATCGTTTAGGTTTTATCCAATACCAGTGCCAAGCCGGTACTTTTGTAACGGTGCCGGTGCTTAAACAATGGAAAAAACACAAACTTTGTCCAAAAACCTCTCATGTTTAGCTGTTTTCCACTTTTTCTTTGGTCATTTTAGCCTTTTTGTCCAGGGTGAAGGGAGTATCTGCCATCAAACAAGAAGACAGCCGCATGTAGCTATGATGATGTTTGCTAGTTCACCTTACATGCATTAATGTAATAACGTGGTTAGCCTACTCAACGTAAATTACACACGAACAACATGAAGCTACTCACGCAGAGAAGAACGGCTGCTGCTGCATCATCATCCTCATCATTTCTGCTACACTGGCAGGGCTAGGGGCCAGGACTCTCCTCTTCGGGTTTTTGGGGGATGTTGCTAACTCCGGGTCGATAACAGGCACCACACCCGCAGATTTGAGGTGTTACCTCCTTTGACAGTATCACAGTATCAGCTTAAAGCACTTGTTGCAGCTGCTGAGTTTGCATCTTTTGCTGTGAAGTACAGCCAGACTTTTGACGCTTCGCCTTGGGCATTTTTAATCTGTAGCTCTGCTCTAAAAGAACGTACGTACCTGGACCCGCCTACTATCCTTCGAAAGGTAAAATGATTGGCTAGAATCCAAAGTGTATGACATCTCAGGAAAAGAAAAGCACCGAAATGTGCTGCTTTTCGGTCTGGTAACTACCGTTTATCTCAGAACCTACTGGTACCCATCCCTACTGATGAGTCCAACCACGGTTGTGTCGTCAGCAAACTTGACGATGTGGTTGGAGCTGTGTAGGGTGGTGCAGTCGTGTGTGAGGAGAGTGAACAACAGTGGGCTGAGAACACAGCCCTGAGGAGCTGCTGTGCTCAGCCTGATGGTGCTGGAGATGTTGTCGCCGATTCAGACGGACTGAGGCCTCTCTGACAGGAAATCTAGTATCTAGTTGCAGAGAGATTTGTCTGCTATCACACATGCACCCTGGGATTTTGTCTGGTCCAGCAGCTTTGCGTGGGTTGACCTTGGTGAGAGATCTCCTCGCGTCGGCTGCAGGCAGAGAGATTGTCTGGTCGGTGGTGGTGGGCGTGGCCTTCTTTGCTTGTGTGTTGTTCAGTGCATCAAACCGTGTGTAGAACTTGTTCAGCTCCTCAGGAAGTGTGGTATCTCCATCACAGCTGCTTGGTGCAGGCTTGTACTGCGTGACGGCCTGATTGCCCTGCCATAAACTGTGAGAGTCTTTTGTGGTGTGGAATTGGCTCTGGATCTTTTGTGCATGTGCACGCTTTGCATGTTGGATGGCGCGAGCGAGGTGGGCTCTGGCTGTTCTGAGAGCCGGTTTTCCTCCAGAGTGGAAAGCAGCATCTCTCTCTTTCAGACATGCATGTACCGCTGCAGTGAACCAGGGCTTCTCACTGGCTCTTGTGGTGATGTTTTTGGAGACCATTACATCCTCTGTGCACTTGAAGCAGTCCTGAAGCGCTGAGACAGCCCCACTCGGCCAGACTCTGATGGTTTTCCTGGCTGGTCTTGTGCGTTTCAGCAGTGATGTGTACATGAGCAGCAGCATCACAGTGGCATGGTCAGATGAGCCGATGTGTGGGTGCACAGCTGCCTCGTGGAAATCGTGCTATTTTTCCTGATTCAGAGCAGAAATTGTCTGTTGTGGTTGGTGTGCATCGTTCTTCGGTCGCTGAATTTTGCCGGAGCGCTATCAGCCGCTGTATGCTCGTGGCGCCGCCAGAAGCCAAGTGCAAGCCAGTGTGGGCATCAGTAACTGTGGAGGTCCTTTACATAAGGTCAAGACCAGTGTTGGGTGTAACGCATTACTAAGTAACACATTACTGTAATTAAATTACTAAATTAATTAAAGTAGAGTAACTGATTACTGTTCATTTTTAGGTATTTTAATTACAGTTACTTACAATGTACTTGTGTTACATTTTAAAATAATTTAACTCGCTGAATATCATTATTTAATTTCAATAATTTATCTTCTAAAGGTAAAAGTAAACTCTGCTCTTTAACATCACTGTAGTGCAGGTTCATGTCTTGTCACGCCAGTTTGCTGCACAGTCGTTTTCTACAGCGGAAGCTGTCGGATTCGGCTGAAGCGAGTGGATGTTTTATGACATGGACATGTTCCCGTCTCTTCACTTTTCTGAAACAAGCAGACAAGAACATTACAGTAATATGTAAAAACTATGGGCTGCTGTTAATAGCACGAGTAATCTGCTGAAGCACCTGACACGAGAGCATAGACGAACACTTCTGAGTGATCCTTGTTCATCATCCATCACTGCGGCAACTGCTGCTGAGCAGCAAAACCTGATTTTACTTTAGCAGCACAGAAAGCGTCTGAAGGTGAGCTTAAAGAATGATCGCAGGCTACACTGTGGAAGAGATGCTACCGCTGCTGTAGAGTCTCCGTCTTTAAAAAATTATTTATTATTTAAAGAGTTTAATTTCTATTGTTTGTCCACTCAAGGTTTATATGGATTTTAAGAAGTATTTAGTTAAATTACTTATTGAGTAATTAAGTTACTTTTCAGACACAGTAATTAGATAAGTATTTTAAATACAATATTGATTAAGTAATTAGTAATTAATTACTTTTTAAAAGTAACTTACCCAACACTGGTCAAGACAAACAGCCTCTAAAGTACCGTTTGACTGGTTTGGCTTCAAAAAAGAAGCAAACAACAATAAATGTGCAGCGATGAACTTTAAATGCCTTTTTTTACATAAAACTGAAAAGAGAAAGGAAAGACGCTTTACATTTAAACTAAATTCTTCTTGTTGTTTCTGTCACTCTGAGTGGATTTCCCTGTAGCAGCTGTTTCACAGACTGTTTGTGTTCAGAGTCAGAGAGCCGTGTCTCTCTGCAGGTTTTTGTACGACGCCTCGCTCAGTTTGTATCACTGTGGTACACGTTCGGTGGAGGAACCAGGCTCAATGTTGACTGTAAGTTTCTGTGACTTCTACATGAAATTAATCGAGATTATTTTGCTGAAAAGGTTAAAAAATTGGGGTTTATTTTCTGAATTTTAAATAATTTTGAATAATTTTGCAGATTTAGTTTGATGAAGAAACTCGTGTTTCTCTGGTCATTTTCACAGTGTGTATATAACCATCATTTATAATGTTATTAGAAAATACTGTTAGTTACTGGAGACGCTGCTTTAGTTCATGATTCTGTCCACAAAGATTAGATAAAAAATGTGACTCAAAGAAAACATATTATAGTATGAAATGATATTTTTCCTAATAATGACCAAAGAAAGAGTGTGTAAAGGTTTTTCCGGGAATCTTTGCACGTGTTGTCTTCCTTTTTAATGACATGTAACATCCTCATTCTAACATCATAATGTGACTGATTGAAGCACATGCTACACTAGTATGTTTATTGGAGATGTAAAGCGTCTTAGAGGCTTTAAAGAATATCTAAATGTTGAGGTGAGCCTGTGGTTGTGTTCAGCAGTGATATCTGTAAATCTACATTTGACTTTGTTCATGAAACTGAGATTTTCCTGCTTACAGTATAAAGCGCCTTGAGGCGACTGTTGTTGTAAAAGTAGATTGAACTGAAAAATGATTGGTGAGCTCAGAGAGGGAAGTGAAACACCAGAAGCAGCAGCCTCCCCAGCTGCAGCCAACAGGGTGGAGGTTCTCTTCTTGTTGCATGAAATTTCTTCATATTGTCTCTCTGTGTCCTCCTCCAGTGGGACAAGTCGCACCCACCCTGACGGTGCTGCCCCCCTCCAGAGAGGAGCTGCAGCAGGGGAAGGCCACGCTCATGTGCCTGGCCAACAAGGGCTTCCCCTCAGACTGGAGTCTGTCCTGGAAGGTGGACGGCAGCGGCAGCATCAGCTGGGAGGAGGGCAGGAGCCCAGGGGTGCTGCAGGAGGACGGCCTCTACAGCTGGAGCAGCACCCTGAGGCTCCCTGCAGACCAGTGGGAGAAGGTGGGCTCTGTGACCTGTGAGGCCACCCAGGGCTCCCACACTCCTCTCTCACAGACACTGAGGAGAGACCAGTGTTCCCAGTCCTGAGCTGACTCGCTGGTTTTCCTCTGCAGGTCTCTCTTTCTGTCACTCGTCTTTGTTTTGTTCATCATTTCACTGTTTGACACAATAAAGATTCATTCAAAGAAACTCTCGTTCCAACTCTGCTCTTTTTAACTTGCACAGATTGAAGTGACTTTTCCGTTTGTTGTTAAGTGCAAAGTTCTTTAAAAAACCAAAAATGATTTAATATGACTGCAACATGAGCAGAGAGTACAAACATGCTGAGGTTCAGTGACTAATGTGTTCACTTATGTCTGCATTTTGATTCTGTTAAGTACGAACACAATAACAGCAGACGTGCTGCTACATGTCTGCAGACAGAGAGGACCAATGACTTTATTTGGCAGTTCAATGAAAGGCTTCAGTTAGTTAAGACGGAGGAAAAAGAATCTGTGTTCATGTTATACAACATTTAAATAAAAAACAAAACAAAACACTTCAGGAAATATTTGTGTTCTTTCTTTCTTCTTCTTCTTCTTTTTTGTACTACTTGAACACTAAAGTGGCCGTCCAATAAGACGACAGTGTCAGCTTTGGCCCACGGCTCATTTAAATTTGACACCCCTGATCTTAAATGAAAGCACAACTATGTCCGTTTTCTTTTATTTAAATCTTACAATCCTACGTTCCAAAATTTCACTCACCTGCATTCAGACCATGTTAACAACACTTATTATGGCTGCCACTGAAATCTTCCTCCTTACATATTCTAAGAGTCTGGAGGAAAAACCAAAGCACTCAGTGTATTTTACACTGACCTTTTTCAGAGCACACAACATAACGAGTCTGCCGGTACTGAAACCTGCTGTGGACATTTTCAGTTCTTAAAAATAACGTCTGGGAGCAGCGATGCAGGACACACATGCAAACACAGAGTCAGTGAGCTGTAACTGTTCTCAGCACATCACTGATGAAACTTTTGTCAACATATATTTTCTTCCTTTCACAGAAAACTCCCTGTTTTCAGTTCAACACTATCTTTATATCTTTGATATTTACCTCACGCTCCATTCATCCTTCATCGAATACATGAACTATGTAGCGACTTAAAAATATCTCACAATGTGTAAGAAAAATGTAAAGGATGTTTTATGTTAGCGTCCATGTTTCAGGACTCTCTGTGTCCCCTCGGGTTACCCCTGAGAATGAGCCCCTCACTTGCACCATTGGCACTCTCACCTGGGAAATAGACACAATCCAGCAAACCCTGATGACAGAACCTGATCCTGACTGTGATGTCATCTGCAAACTTAAGGTTTTGGCACACTTGACTTTTGCTGTGCAGCCATCTGTGTAGGACACCTCCACTGGGTCGCCACTGCTAACTTTGCAGGTGCTGGATGTGCCTCACCAGTGATCCACTGACAGATGGAGGCTGGGACAGTGAGCTGGGTAGTTTGGAGTTGAGCTGAAGTCCACAACTTGATCCTATTACAGATCCTATTACATGTACCAGGGCAGTCAAGGTGTTCCAGCTTGAAGTGCATTCCTGTGACAGCATCATCCACTGACCTGCACCAGGGAGCGTGTGATGTTTGCAGATAGGTCAACACTCATTTCTTTACTGCAGACGTCAGGGCAACATGTCTGTCATTAATTAACAGAGTGTTTCTTGGGGAAAGATGATTGTTAGCTGAAAACCCATTTTTAGTGTTTGCTACCCTGATCTCCTTTGTCAGTATGTTTCTGGCCTGGGTATACAGGATTCTGTGCCCACTCCTGTAGGCGTCATTATCCCTGAATTTTCCTGTAAACCAGGGTTTGTTGTTATTGTATATGCAGAAGGTTTTAGTTGGCACAACTTTGTCCTCACAAAAACTGATGTAGGATGTCACAGTGTCAGTGATGTTGTCCAAGTGCGCCTCAAAAACACTCCATTTCCTGCATTGTCTCACAGCACAAGGCCAGGCAGGCGCCTGTGGCACTTTTATTTTAACTGCATTGTTTATTGTTGTGTATTGTAAACTGCAATATATTTACTCTTTACCATCCTGCTGCATGCATACAAATGTCCATTTTATTTGCAATAAGCCAAAAACAAACAAACAAACAAACTAAAAACCCAAAACAAAACGCAGGTACACAGTGAAAGACCAGATGTCCCAGTTTAGTGAAAGACCAGATGTCCCAGTTTTACACTGGGACTTGAAAGCAGCTTACATTTGTGGATCTGTCTGGCTGTGGCGGAAACCCCACGTGGGCATGTGACGAGCGATTGGTGCACATTTAAGGTTTTGTGAGTGAGGGCAGATGTTTAGACATTTGTGTGCACAGACAGGTTTGTGAAAGAGAAAATGATCAGATTTGTGAGGCTGAACTTAATAAATTGTGTGTAAATGATCAGTATTTTTGCTCCCACTGAACTACTACTGTAAAGACCAGAAAGGATGCACCAGTTAAAATAGAAGCACCCATGTTAAATCATTGGTGGACAGATAGAGCTGGGTGTCATCTGCATAGCAGTGTAAATGTATGCTATGTCTTCTAATGATGCTGCCTAAGGGAAGCATGTATAATGTAAACAGAATTGGTCCTAGCACTGAACCCTGTGGAGCTCCATAATTAACCTCAGTGTGTGAAGAGGACTGCACAAATTGGAGTCTATTAGATAGATATGATACAAACCACTGCAGCACAGTACCTGTAATACCTACAGCATGTTCTAATCGCTCTAATAGGATATTATGGCTATATTAGCTAAGACACTGAAAACTTCCCTCCCGAACAGAAAAAGTCACTTCAAGGGACAAACTGCATTTTATTTCTTCACGTCAATATATGGGCAGCAAGTGGCCCCCGGGCCACGAGTTTGAAACCCCTGAGTGAAGAACAACTGTGTTTATTGTGAAAGGATCTCAATCTGTGCAAGTTAAAAAGAGCAGAGTTGGAACGAGAGTTTCTTTGAATGAATCTTTATTGTGTCAAACAGTGAAATGATGAACAAAACAAAGACGAGTGACAGAAAGAGAGAGACCTGCAGAGGAAAACCAGCGAGTCAGCTCAGGACTGGGAACACTGATCTCTCCTCAGTGTCTGTGAGAGAGGAGTGTGGGAGCCCTGGGTGGCCTCACAGGTCACAGAGCCCACCTTCTCCCACTGGTCTGCAGGGAGCCTCAGGGTGCTGCTCCAGCTGTAGAGGCCGTCCTCCTGCAGCACCCCTGGGCTCCTGCCCTCCTCCCAGCTGCTGCTGCTGCTGCCGTCCACCTTCCAGGACAGACTCCAGTCTGAGGGGAAGCCCTTGTTGGCCAGGCACATGAGCGTGGCCTTCCCCTGCTGCAGCTCCTCTCTGGAGGGGGGCAGCACCGTCAGGGTGGGGCGAGCGTCACCTAGGAGACACCAATCAGCTTAGAGGACAGGGAGCACACGGCACAGCTGGCAGTAACGCCTTCACTGTGTGAGAGTGGATCTTCTCCTTTAAGGACTTTCTGACAGATGTTTTTCTGCTCCACCAGTCACTCACTCACACATTGTTTCACTTCCCTTTAGCAAAGCTCTCATGCACATCAGCGCACTCACAGTCCTCATATGACCCGAAGCTCAACAACCTGCACTGGGGCCAAACTGTTACTCAGCATCTCAGTAATTATCTTCAGCATCAACTTCTAATTATCTGCATGGTTTTAGTGTTTAATACAAAATATAACACACTGAACAAATATTCAGTTATTTACATTCATCATTTGAATCATTTCATTTGGTGCATTTCTACAATCATAATTAACGTTAAACTATCACCAGCTGATCATTTCACTGATAAAGACATTATCTGCTAAACCGAACCAGTCAGAATATTTCAACATAAGCCAGATTTAAACAAGATAAATATTCTCAGACAGTTTCAAACTGAGGTCAAAGACAAAGTGGGACATTTTTAAAATCCACAGATGTGTCAGAAACACTAAGAAATGATCTCCAGTCACACTGTCCTGAGTCCTTTTAATTCTGCAGCAGGTTTAAAGATACATTTTCTTTAATCCTTTAAATTGTTGCTGTTTAAAAATGGAACATGTGAGGACAGGTTCAGTAAAGGAGCTGAACAAAAATGTGATGTGACTGAGTTCAGCTCACAGCAAAATGATGTTCAATGATTTAACATTTGAGCACAAACTTACTTCCAACATCCAGCCTGGTTCCTCCACCAAACGTCCACCACAGTGATACAAACTGACTGAGTGG